TGAATATTGACATCTGGACAGCAAAATTGCTTTTTATTCTTTCCAATGAAGGTAAACTGACTCACTGGCACAGAAGAGAGACTTTAATACCAAATTTTGTTCCATGTGGCAAAAATGCCAAGTGTAACCTGCACCACATCTTCCAGATATTACAAGATGATCTGCACTTAAGATGAAGAAGAAAATCAGAATGACTGAAAGGAAAGTTTCTTCTTGGCTTCCACCCTAGCAATCAATACAGCTACATACATCTGAGCAAGAACCATGATGGTTAAATACCACCTTCTGAATCTCAAAAGACTTCACTGACATCTATTCCTTGCCCATATTTTTTCACTTCCAGTGGACAGGGACATTGCCTTTTTCACAGAGGAGGTGTCAGACCATGGCCCCTGGCGAATCAACATGAATCACTGGCCACATGATTCAAACGTGTGCTCTAAGAAACAGAATTTTAGCATCCTGAAACTCCACTCTTAAAGCGCTGAATGAGGAAGCCTGTTGTGCCAGTGTGTTGATTAAAGAGACCAGCATTTTCACATTCATTTTCAAAAATGGTAAAGGAGGGAGAGTAAAACATTACCTCTCCCACTTTTACCTTTTATATAGACAAATGGGCGCACTGGCCTTGCATTGTTAGTTTTACTAGAATATCTGCTGAACAACACAATGCATATGCATGCAGGTAAACATAAACACACACGCGTGCGCAATACTGAACTTTGTGTTGGCAGCCAGACTGCAGTAACCCATGTCCCCTGGGCAGCAATCAGCTATGAAGCAACAGGAAAAAGTTAGTGTAACGATTAACTAGCCCGGTGGGCTATTATTCATGACAAGTAGAGCAGCAGCAGTGCAGGCTGTGATGCTGGTCACCTCTCCCTCTGGAATGCTGCTGGGTGCCTGGAATCAAACTCAGCACAGAAAAACCAGCAAATGTAATGTCAACATAAGAAAGAAGCTGAATTCCCCCTCTTGGAGTTTGCATGTAAGGAAGACATGCAGGAGCAGAGATTTTCTGTTAAGCTTGATGTTGAAAGAATATGACAGATTCCAATATCACCATTTATCAAACAGGCATGCATAGGTTTTGGTAAGATTAATAAGGTTATTGGTATCAGCTATAGGCAATTATTCCCTATACAGCACCAAGCAACAACTCTAATGGCAGCTGGCAAGTATCAATGTTGATAGCTGCAGCCATGGTCTTAGTACTGAAGCAGACAGTTAAAGTGCATCCATTTAGGTGAAAGACTAAACCATGAGTATCCCTATAGCCAATCAGGGAAAAAATCAGTGTCATCATGGCTGTTCCCCTTCCTTTGGTGCTTTTACCCTGCAGTCCCCAGCAAGCTCCAGAAATTCTTTCAAAATTCTTTCAAGTCTTTCAAATTCTTTTAAAGCAATGCATTAAAGCTGAACATACTGCAACACCCACTATATTTCTCTCGGTGCTACCTCAGTCAGCATTTTGCAGAGAGGCAATACACTACTGCCTGGACTTCAGCTTGAAAAACCAAATTCCATCTGATTTTTTCTAGCTTTCAATGATTTAACTTCATCAGCCATGGCAGAAATGACAATCAAAGATTCAGTTTTATTTTTTATTTTCCAACAAAAGCATTTGCTGCTTACTTAAGAAGACATTGAAAGAAAGTATTTAGCAAAAAAAAGAAAATTCTTTCTTTCGATAAACTCTCTTTCCTTCTGAAAGGCTTTGCTCTGTGTGGATTATTAATTTACTTCAATTATTTTGAAGTGCCTCTGTTTGAGTGGGTAGGAGTTAAGTATCCACAACGCCAAAGTAGGTTCTAGAATTAGTTTTTGTAAACAAAATGTTCTGCAGTGGCCTAAATCTGCACAAGTAGTAAGTCTTGAGTATTTTGGAAGTCCTTTTCCACAAAGAGTACTTCTGGAGACCCTGAAAGCTATGGGACCCAGGTCCATGAGCATGTATTATGGGACTTACATTGTATGGACAGGTCATATCTCTCTAATCATGAACACATATAAATCCTTTTTCTCATTTTGCAGGAAAACAAAAATGTTGCTCTTATTTAAATGTGGAAAGCAAAATCCCACCTGGAAGAGGCTGGTACCAACTAAAGCAACTGACCAGAAATTTTAATCTGTCAAACAGGAGGATTTATTAGGACACAATGACCCAGTGATATAAGAGAATGCAGAGAGCCAGAACAACATACACAACTAGGCATGTAATCAAAACCAAATAACAATCTTTCAAAATCTCTCTAACCACAGCTCTCTCTCACAGACACACATATACTTATGCACAGATACAGGAATACTTAAGTTGTTACCCTTTGTTAAATGTTTTCAGCCCAGATATCTTTCTGGTTAGTAGGTACATACACTAAAAACAACAAGAAGAAGAAAACAAGCCAAAAAAGCCCTAGGAAAACTTCAGATGGAAGAGTTTGAACATAGTTATGTGCTCACATTCACAGAAAGGAGGAACCAAATCTGGGGAAAATACACAGGCTTATCACTTTATAGGCAGTGGGCACTGGCTTGAACAAAGACTCCAAAAATAAACACATCTAACATTTAAATCCCAAGCTGTTTTCAGTGACACCCTTTCTCCTATGACTGTATGTACACTCAAAAACAAAACCCCAGCAGCTAAACATCCGCAGCCTTGAGGAATTTCAGTTCTCAATCTCAAGAAAAAGCTATCATCCAAACCTGTATCCACAGGCTTCTACTACCACATTCTGATTTAAGGACACAAATGCAATAAAACTAGAACCAAAGAGAGAGAAACCAGTTGAAATGAAGAGTTTGCACTACCCGTTCCTTCACAGATATGGAAGGTGTGATGTAGGCATCTGGAAAACCAGAAGATATCTTACCTGGTAAATCTCATTTCGTAAGTCTCCCCACTTTCAATTTGCATTCCTGTGCGTTGCACATACTTCCATATAAATTTATAGCTCCTCTGCACTGTTGCCCATAGTTACACCCAGTATTTACAGGTAAGCCTGCAACCCTGTTCCTCCATGGAGGGAAAAGAGACAGGAAGGAAAATAGTATGAAGGGAAGTAGGAAAACAATTCTGCACTTACTCATCTGTAGTTGGTGGTTATATCTTAGGAATAGTTGCTTTAAAATACAAGTTGTTGTTGAGGTTTGATTTAAAAATCTCTGTCGGTTTTGACATTCAGGTGAAAGTATTGCTGCTGGCTCCAGAAGAATTTGCGTATCTTATCACTAAATAAAATGTCTGAGGCGTGCACCAATCTGATGAAATTTTAAACAAGAGTCCACACAAGCACACATGCCTTCCTGTTTGATTTCTGTCCTGTTTACTCCTCTATAATAAATTATATGATCATCTCATTCTAGCTGGAGGCTTACCTGTGCATGTAAAAAGGAAAATGATAGCAGCCTATTCGTTTTCACACTTTACAACTGAGAACCTGAACAAAATTGTGGATTTTGGGAACAAGCAGAAAAACTTATTTTGTTACCATCTACCTCCTCTTTAATTGCCACAAAATTGGTGGAAAATCCCATGTATTTATGTATTTTCAAAAATAATTTCCCACACTGAAAATAAATAAATAAATGAAACTACACCTCTTTTACTACAAACACTAATATACATGCTTAACTTTATGTCCTGCAATTAATCTCATCTACTTCAACAGGATTACTCATAATGCTGTGAGTGAAATACATGTGTAAATCCTTGCAGAATCATGGCCCGAATTGCCAACAACATTATATGGCACAATTAAATGCCTAGGCCTAGAGTGGCTCTTCAGAAAGATTAGGAAAAAAAAAACTTTAGGCATAATAAGTAACAAAATCTACTCCGGGGAGTGGCTATGGGAGAAACAGTATTGTCGCCTTCCCTTGGGAAATTCACCTGTCACCAGATCCTTCCAGTAATTCACCTTCTTCCTCTACCAGTTACCACCTTCACTTACCACTTCCCACTCCTTTCTCACTCATCAAATACCATTCTCCCTCTCCACACATCCTGCTGCTGCTGCTGCTGCTATGTGACGAAGGAGCCAGGAGATGCATCTTACTCCTTCTCATTCTTTTGTGCAGTGAAGTAGGATGAGAGCACGGTCTGGCCCTTACATTAACTAGCATAGTAATAAACCACTCACGTGCTAGTTAACAGAGCTGGGTGCACAACTGAAGGATTTCACCAACTTTGCTTCTTAACCATCTGGTTTCTTCTGCAAATACTCACAAATGCTGTATCAGAAGTTACTCTCTGTACATTGTCTAGTTTTTGACTAAAATCCACGGCTTCCACAAACACTTCTGCTTGTAAATTAACTCAGCCAGAAATATTAACTAAAATGCCAGGAAAACAAAATCAATCCCTTAAAAGTTCAAATGACTATTTGTCACAAACATTTCACCTCTACTAATGAACGGCAAAAATGAATGATAGAAAATGCAAAACTGTATTATGTTTAGCAGTTAACATTTTAATAAGGAGGAGATTAGCAATTTTTAATACCTCCAGTGCTTTGTTATATACAGTAGCACAATAACTGAATATTTTAATTGCTAATTATTTAGACCTCATTCAGTTCTCACTCAGGCAAAACTCCCATTGAGGGACTCTTGCCTGAGAAAAGAGCTACAGGATTTGTCTTACTGTAATTTGAAAAAACTTTATATATCATAAAAACTGTCAAGTTATAGTGAGACAAAAATCATTAAATCCTTAGCAATATTAAACCCTACTGAAAGTCCCACTGACTCTTAACGCCAATGTTTTCATATTAAGTAAAACAGATAATTGCGGTTTACCAGTTGTAACTTACCTGTATAATTTATGCCCAGATATGCTGCTGCTCTTAAAGAGGTCTAATAACGTTTTGAGTCTTCTTACCGTATCCCTGCTTTTCTCCTGTGGGAAATCTCAGTTCAAACACGATAGGGAAATAGCATTTCCAAACTATTATGATGCCAACACCTTCAGAAACCCAAAAACTAGCGTTTGGTTTTACCTTTTGACTTCGGACTCCAAAAGGGTTAAGAGCAGCTCTCAACACTTCTTTCTTATGCTGCTGTAAAGAAAAGAAATGCTTATGTTTAGGGATTTGCACACGCAACACCTTGAGTTTTCACAACAGTCAAATAGCTAGGCATTCAGTGGGGGAAGTGGGTGGAATGCTGTATATATATAAACATATAGCTATCTGAAGGAAGACAAAACAAAGTCCTGCACATTCACATTTAGTACATAGGTGATGAACAAATCAACTAAATGTACTAGTATCCGAAATGTCATGTTATACACATCCTTCAGAGAGAAAAGTTACACAACTGAACACCAAATTAATAAGATTCCATGCTTAAAACAAAACAAAACAAAAAAATCTCAGTTTTTCCATTAAGTGTAGTTTCATTCCTGTTAGAGATAAAAGCAAATGGGTGTCACAACCGAAGTTTTGCCACTTATGTTTGCCATTCAATGCATTTGTGGGAAAAGTTACAGGTAAGTACTCTAACAGGTCAAGAGTTTGAAGAGGTTCTTTTATTTTTTTTTTAATGAAAAATTGTGTATAAAGTCTTCGCATCTTTCAACTATAAATGGCTTTAATGACTAAAATGTTCAGAAAACCTCTCTATAGGCTGCATTTTGAAAAAAGAATTAAAAACAGACTTAGTACCTTATACCACTAATTACCAAAATGTTCAGAACTAGCTGCCAAACAGCTGAGGAAGTATTTTGAAGTCTGAAAATAAGACTCGGGCACTTCACTTCCACCAATTCAGAATACGTTTTAGGGACCTGATTGGCGTAATTTCCAACTCCTGTTATGAGAGGTTCACTTAAATTACAATGCCCGAATCCACTCCAGCCAGGCTTCTTGCTTCCTCGCAGGAGCAGCGAGATCCCTTCATTCCCCTCAAGCACTGACCTTTCATCTAAGAACCTGTGTCCAAAGCTAATACCAGCTCGAGTATGGCAGGACAGGGCTAACTAAGCCTACTGGTATTCTTTAATCCTTCGCTGGTGAGGGGTTTTCAAAGCTAGCCACAAAGACATTTTAATCACTGAGATTTTGACCCCTTTTGTCATACTGCAGAACTGATTCAATTGCACTTATTTGCTATAGACCTGTCTCCTCAAAGCTCAGATGATTTTTTTTATCTGGTAACGGACCTGTGATCTGTCACCTGTTAAAAGTAATCTGTTAACAGAAAAGAACTGCTCTGTGGAGCACCCTTGCTTATTTAGAAAGGACACAAAGTGTTGCTTTCTCAAATAAAGAAGATGCAACACCAGCAGGCTTTCAGACACGGCATTTCCAAGCGTGACTTCCCACCAGTTCCTAGCTACTACAGAGACGCTTCTGTTGCTTTCTCAGAGACACGCTTGCAATTTCTTTTCACATCTGCAGCCTTCCTCTTGTTTTCTGGGTGCTTTCCACCTCTGATCATCATGATCAAACGATGCTCCAGCTTCAGCATTTGTGGAAATTTCCCTATGGCGATCCCCTCCAGCCTACGTGGGTCAGTCCTGAGCATACACAGCATAGTCTGTTCGATGGCGGCTTCCACTGTTTTCAGGGAGGAAGGTTTATTTTGCTTGAACTAAGGCTGTGTAGCATGTGCTTCAGCTTTCATAAGGTCTGCAGTTGCCTGAATAGACACACTGGATGGCAGCTGTTAGCACTTTCCAACATTACACAACCACGGTCTGGAATAGTCTGTCAGTTCCGCGCAGACAATGAATGAAGCAAAACAGAAGGCCTAAAATATTGAGTAATGAGGATAGGATTTTGACCTTTAAATGCTGTTAGATGTATTGCACGAGGATATGTTTGATTTAAGCGATACTATTAGGTATGAAACTGTGCTGTTTGCCTAATGTCTAACTCATCTAACGACTGAACCACTCTGTACTTGCTGGCACGCTATGTGCTGCAGCGAGAGATGGCTCTGCTGAGTGAGCCCAGTAAGAGAGGGTGGCACCGGGGAATGTGGAAGAGATGAAAAGAGGGGGGAAAGCATCAGAAAAACTGATCACAAGGTGAAAGAAAATATTTTCTATTTTAAACCCACTGATCAGTCAGACCCGTGGTGCTGCTTAGACATTATCTCCTCAAGCTCTGCAAAGGATTAAATCCAAGTCAAAAGTCTCAGTTTCCCTCCTCTGGTCTACTAGCATCTGAAATTTTGTACAACTACCCATGATGTACACAGCTAACTTTTTGTCAGTTGTGATTCTTGCCAGAAAGTGCTACGCAAGAGTCTGTATAACTGTTATGGTTACTTTTCTTTATTTTCGCAATCATTAATCGATCCTTTCCAAACATCTGAATGCCTGAGTTTAATTAGTGGCAACATTTCTGCCACATAGTGTTTAAAACTATTTTTATATGTGATTTAAATTAATCAACCCTTATACTTGAGATGGTCATTTGTTGGACCAAAACAGCTACTAGAGCATACCTTATCCAAAATTACAGGCCATTCATTCTGTTTTCAATTCCAACGTCCATGTTTACATTTAATTGTTTCACTTGGATCAACAGCTTATTGGTGATTCAAATTATATCATATCAAGTAATACCCTCTAAATCTGATGCATTCACATGACATCAATGATGTGAGAAACTATGCACGCAACTCAGCAAACCGCTTTTGGTCCACTTGAAAGTTAAACCCCACATACTAAGCACAGGCGAATACTTCACAGCATAGGATCACAATAGGCTTACTGACCTCAAAGTCACAAAATATATCACAATACTCAGAGAGGCTTGAAGTAGATCATGGTAATTTCCTAGAAAAATGTGCTTTCAAGGATGAAGCAAATTAGGTACACCTACTAACTCTGCTTTTTAAAATATCTAACCAGAACGAGATCTACCACAAAAATATGAAATACAGAAAAGGACAATTTAAACACTGCTGAATTTAAAATGCGTCTTCTGCTGTGCCAGTTGCTTGTACAGTAACAACAGCATACTGTACTGCTGTTCAAATGCAAACAAGAAAGAACTATACATACTTGTTAATTTCCTTATGTTAATGCCTTATAAACTGCATGGCCTTTTGACATTCGCTACTAATGAAAAAAATCCTATTCAGTGAGCTATCATCAGATTAAGTGAGACCAAGATAAATACATTCCATTCAAGAATATGTAAAGAACGTGTCAATTTTATTTACATTTTCTTTCAAGGTTATGGAGCTTTCGCCGAGGGGGGAGAAAATATTATAGGATGATAACTGTGAGGATCTTCTCTTTTTAAGACTCTATATTCAAAGAACAAAATGCAAAGAATAAGATAAATTATATTAGCATCACTCCAGTTCAATTCCTTCCAAACAGTCATCATACATACAAACTAAACTCTGGTAGCAAGTGGATGAAAGCAATCACTACTGATTAATGCTAAGAATATAGGAGCCAAAAGAGTTTCAGACAATGATACACTGTGAGACTACGAGTAAATCTCTTGGTCTCTTTTGAGATTCAGTCAACCTGGCACGAACACTGGGTAAAGTATGTCCTTAGCAAAATGGACAATGCATCACAGCAATGCTCTTTTTTAAAAAAGAGACTTGTGTGTGAATTTAATGCGTATGGAAAAGTCTAATCTGGCAGGCTTAGAGCTTGAAATCCTCTCATTTCCAGGACAGTACTTCTAGCAGCAGAACAGATTGACTCACACAGGCTCACCACTACCCCTCAGCCTTGAACTGAGGGACCATGTTGAGTGGTCAGGTTTTGTGGCTGGTTCAACCTCTTTCACCGGACTTACAACCACAGACCAATTACTATTGACTGTAGTAATGTTTTTTGTGATATGGACTTCTGTCCACTGAGAACTAGAGTTGAGATCTCTTTAACTTGTTTCAAGAGTCAAGCTTGTCTGTCTGGGGGAAAAAAAAGGAATAAATCAAATGACGAGCATTAAACTCCATGATAAAGACAGATACTGGATAATTTCTGAAGACAACTGCCCAAAGCAGACCACTGACCTGGCCTGCAGGTATAAGATAATGAACTGGATATGAATTGGCTTTTTTGCAGGAAAGGAAGCTTCGTACACGTATGGAAAAATTTTAAAGAAACAACAGTGTTACAGTTTACACATGAAAAAGTCTTTCAGAAAACAATTTAAGTTCCCTATGCACTTCTAAATTCTATTTGAAAAAGACTATCTGCCCATATTTATCTCCATGGAAGACTTGGATTAACTGCCTAGGCCCAGGACAAAATGACCTTTGAAGGCAACAGTCACGTGATGGAGAAAGAGGAACATCTGTAACACTTAACCTCCTTAGGTTAGCAGGTTAACCTCCTCTTTACTTTATGTACCATAACTTTACTTAAACAGAAATCATCACCTGGAACATGAGAAGCAAATGGCATTTTTAGTGTTAGAGGTACTAGCAACTAGCCTATGTATTTCTTCAGAAGGAAATACCAATGCAGACGGTGAATTAAAACACGCCATGGTAACAGATGAAGACTTCAACTGTCAACAAAATCAGGCTATTAATTCTCACATAAACAGTCTTTTTAAATCTTTGATTTTTAATATACAATCCAAAGATCACTCTCACATTTCGGCAGCTTTTGTCTTTTAATGCCAATCATTTCAACTGACTTTTCTCACTACCCTGTGCTTTCTCTCCCCTTTGGAAAAGGTGAGTGAAAATATCAAATGATATCTTACTCTGCCAAGGCCAAAGGAGCCGTTCAAACATTCAAAAAAATTAGGCAATGACTTTGCTTAAGGCAGGGAGGGAATGTGATTAGCAGTGGGGTGGATCACTGCCTGGCAGGTGAGGGGAAAAAACCCAAACCTGAACCCAAACCTCTTCTCATTCTCTGTTTCAATCTATGCTTAGGTCTAGACTATGTAAACAGCAACCAAAAATTACTGGATGGAGAACACAGATTTATTTTGCTGCTCATCACGTTCTTTTCTCAAGTGACAGATACTGAGATTCAAGGGGAACCTGGGAAACTACTGGCCTGTTCATTACCACCGACAGCAAAGATGCCCTGACTGATCCACTTGGACTAAACTATCACCTG